AAACATTGTAATCACCAGAACAATCTCAAGATACCAGTCTGGCAACTTTGTTGTCGTTGTTACGTGCCGTCGAGTTGGTTCCTGCTCATAGTGACTCTGTGTACAACAGAACGAAACACTGCCAGATCCTGCGCCATCCTGGCAACTTTGCATGAATATTACGACTTTGATTAAATATATTTCCCATTTGGATTTTTCTTATATTTTACAAACTCAGTTTACATTAAGTCTTTGATGTTCTGAAAGATCTTTGATAAAATTGGTACTCACTTTTCATTTATCAGCAACATAAACATTGAACACAAGTAAAATGACTTTTGTTCCTTCTCTAAATTTTCACCAACACTTAATCACAGGAGATTTCAAAATTCGTAACCAATAAGGCAAAGCTGATGCTACCAGTGTAGAGAACACAGCCCTTTTTATATTGGATATTTTTAATAGAAATGCTTTATTTTCAAGCATAAAAGTAGAGAAGAGTAAAATGAAAGGTGGAATGAGAAATTATGAACATTATTTATTAAAAAGAAAAATCTGCTTAAATAAGATAATGTTCAGATAATTTCCAAATATAATTTAATAATTTAAGCTGATTTAAAATGCACCTATTATATTCCAAATGCGTTTGCTTACTCATGGTGAAATATTTGGTGATACAGCAGAGGTAGTCCCAAAAAATAATCAAAATTATTATCCATTACATAGCAATAAGGTTGAATGTGTTTACTCAATGAAAAATTATGGACTTAACACCCAAGATTGATTATCACATTTTCTCCCAGAATACTTAAAAGCAAATGTAGCTATGCTGCTTTGTCAGAAAAAGACAGCTTTATGCATGTAAATAATTTACACATGTACAAATATTTAGTAATTAAGCACGCAGTAGAGAAAACTGAAATTATCCCTTCCCCCGAATCTACAGTATATTAACTCTTTAGTTTTAAGTGAAGAATAATCACATTTTGTATAAATCTGAGGCTTACATATAATGTGGTATTGGCAATATATCTCAAATTAATCCTTCGCAATAGGTATAATAAATACAATCATACATTTTAAAAATGGCATTCACTGTGGGCAGAGAAGATCGTCCTACATGAGGCAAGCACTCCAGTGGTAATATCCAAATGTTTTATATAAATTAAAATGTTAAATTCTTCTGTCTATTCACTCAAACTGTATAATTGTTGCTGTTAGGTGCCGTTGAGTTGGTTCCGACTCATAGCGACCTTACAGGGCAGAGTACAACTGCCCCATAGGGTTTCAAAGGAGTGGCTGGTGGATTTGAACTGCCAGCTTTTCAGTTGGCAGCTGAATTCTTAACTACTACGCCACCAGGGATAATAATGTATATATTTAACTTACGTAAAGCTAGCAATTGCACATTATTCCAGCAATTCATTTTAGAAAGGATAATAACAGATGTTTTACTATCCTTATTCCAAGTTAAACGGCCTTGAGTTGACTTGGCCTATCCCGAGTCTCAGATCTCATAGTGTACGTTTGAAAAAAGGCATTTTTTTCTTTTCCTGTTATAATATTAGATAAAGTTTTCAGTCTTCCAGAGCCTAGGAAGTAAAATCCAAGCTATGGACAAGTGCAAATATTCATAAAATTTGTAAACGTGCCCCTTGAAATAACGTTATTTCTTTTAATGGTCAACCCCACTAGTACAAATCTGTCTTGGAAGAAGTAGAGCCAGCATGCTCCTTAGAAATGAAGATGGCAAGACTTTGTCTCACATACTTTGGACATGTTATCAGGAGTGATCAATCCCTGGAGAAGGACATCATGCTTGGGTTGTGAAAAAGAGGAACGCCCTTGTCATGGATTGAATTGTGTCCCCCACAAAATATCTGTCAACTTGGCTAGGTCATGATTCCCAGTACTGTATGATTATCTACTATTTTCTCATCTGATGCGATTTCCCTATGTGTTGTAAATCCTATCACTATGATGTTAATAAGATGGATTAGCAGCAGTTATATTGATGAGATCTACAAGATTAGATAGTGTCTTAAGCCAATCTCTTCTGAGATATGAAACAGAGAAGTGAGCAGAGAGACAGGGGGGCCTCATACCACCAAGAAAGCAATGCTGGGAGCAGAACATGTCCTTTGGACCTGGGGTTCCTGCACGGAGAAGCTCCTAGTCCAGGGGAAAATTGATGAAAAGGACCTTCCTCCAGAACTGACAGAGAGAGAAAGCATTCCCCTAGAGCTAATGCCCTGAATTTGGACTTCTAGTCTACCAGACTGTGAGAAAATAAATTTCTTTGTTAAAGCCATCTACTTGTGGTATTTCTGTTATAGCAGCACTAGACAACTAAGATAACCTTCAATGAGATGGACTAGCACAGTAGCTGTAACAATGGGCTCAAACATAGCAATGATTGCGAGGATGGAGCAGTGTTTCCTTTTGTTGTACGCAGGGTCACTATGAGTCAGAACTGGCTTGGAACACCCAACAACAACACCCTTAAGAGAGACTTATAACTGATTAACAAAACCAAGTGGATTTTATGAAACAGTTTACTTCCTTCAATAAAGAAATACGTCTACAGCAATGCCACCCAGGTATCAATTTGTATCATGCAACAGTCATTTGCTTGAAAGTAATATAGTAATCTTGAAAGAGTTAATCTTCCAAATACACTAGTAAATTATCTGTACACTGGAAATATCAGGTACAACTGATGACATATCTGAGGTTTTCAGGAGAAAAAAATATACATAGCCAAGCACGTACTACTTACTAATATCACAGTGAGGAAACCAGTCATATACTTTGAACATCTGCAAGTCTTCTACAGTGGGATTCTACTAGAAGAAATCTGGGTCTTTTACTTTGGTCTTTATGAGCTGCTTTTTTTGTTGGCAATATTTTGACTTGCTAATATTCTGATGATGGTGAAAAATCATCTCGGACTCTACAGTTACCTGCCTCATTTTCAGCTGAGATAAATGTATTTGGCAGACTTCTTAAAGGACACAGTTTCTAGTTAGTATTTTGGCTGATATACAATTCAAATATAAAACATTATATAAATCAAGAAATAAAATTCTATACAGAGCATAGGAATATACAGTTAGGAACATACTAATTTATCCCAAATATCAAGAAGAGTGTAATGTATTTCAAAAAGTGTTCAGTTGAACATGGTGAATTTTTTTAATGTTCAGTTATGTGAAATTTTTACTTAAATGAAAAATACTCATTCTGACAATGACATTAAATTGGAACCATAGCTTAAAATTATTTTTATTTAAAATTAGTTCTGCTGTGAACTAGAACTTTTATGCACAGCTTGATGGGTAAGGATTTAGAGACAAATTACACACACACCACACTACACCACATCACAAACCATAATTTGATGTTTCCCAAGGATGTTTGAGGAATCATCAGAGGAGCCTTTTAAAATAATTGATTCCAGAATTGCAGAAAGAGACTCTGATTTTCTGATATGGATAAATTAGCCAATATACCCAGACACCTTTTTCTCTTATGCATATAGTCACAAGTCACCAACTGGTTCTAGGATGGTAGCTCGTTTACAGACCTTCAGAACACAGAAGAGCATAGCATGGCTCTAATTTCCTGCCCTGGTGGTGAAGTGTAGGAGCCCTGGTGGTACAGTGGTTAAGAACTAAGCTGTGAACCAAAAGGTCGGCAGCTCAAGTCTACCAGCCGCTCCTTGGAAACCCTATGGGGCTGCTATGAGTCAGAATTGACTCAAAAGCATACAACAACAACAATTTTCTGCAAAGCAGTTTGATGTAACAAACCTCACAGTATCCAAAAAAGCTGTTTAGGTTAAACAAGAGCCACAGTTTATGAAAGCACCATTTTCCCCTGTATGTTTTCCTCTCAGACTTGCAATATGATTAAAAAAAAAAAAAAAAAGACTGTAGCTACCCTTTTGGATGAGTGGAACTGCCCCACGGGGTTTCCAAGCAGTGACTGGTGGATTCAAACTGCCAGCCTTTTGGTTAGCAGCCACGCTTTTAACCACTGCACCACCAGGACTCCACTGGTATAATTAGAGTAATTAAATACTGAAGTGAATTATTGAAGAGTGTTATTTTGAGATATCTATAAAAAAACTATCTGGTTTAGATATTTACTTGCTCAACTAGATTATTAATATAGGACACAAGTCTACAGCTCTGGGATTCTTTGTCATTTTTCACTGAACTTATTAGACAAATTAGTGAATTAATAGAGATGAATTTTGCCAAATAGCTGGTCAGTGACAAGAAACCACACAATAATACGCCAAATGTCTAACAAAGTTTAATAGAATTTTATATGTAGCTAGTGTTTTAAAATATTATAATAAATTGACTTTCAGAAAGGAGCAGCTCCTGTGGTTGAACACGCAGCTTTTAAAATCAAGCAGCCAACATTTATGATCACGGCTATGGCTACCCAAATCCTGCCAGCTGAGGGGTTCGTGGCGGTTGTGTGGTTGTGGCTGATGGTGATGAGTCATTCGCAGATTTACTCTCAGCCTCTCACTCTGAAATAAGACTCATTCATCCCACTTTTCTTTTTTGGTTCCATTTTCTCATTTACAAATAAATACACCACTTGCCTTCCTACTAGAAATATTCAAAAAGCCCAAAAGAAAAAAAACCCTCAAACGCCAAAAAGCAAAGACCAACCACCACCTTGATGGCACTCGCAATAAAAGTTTGTACATTTTTCTCCACCTGGAAACATTCAGCATTTTACTTTAAAATTACCTACCTACTGCCCCTGAAACACATATTCTCCAATGAACGTAGAACTCTCTATGCATGTTCTGGGTTTCTTTTGAAAAGCAGAATTAGAGACTTATTCACAAAATTGATGGCACATTAGCTCAAAAACTAGAGCGGCAACCGCTTAAGAGCATGAAGCTTCCTCGGCCCCTCTATTTTCCTCCACATCTATCAAGAGCTAAACAAACACGCAAATTAATAAGACCTTGAGCGGTGTTGATATCTTGCCAGTAACGCTGTGCTTTTTTAAACTGGGTCCACCTTCATTAGATTATTGTCGGTCCCTAACGGAGAAGGCTTCGTTTAATCCTGTCTGCTACGTCTTTAGAGCTATCCACAAAGAACATCCTGGGTGTGCACAGTGAGACTATAATCCTTCTGTATTCCTTCCTGAAATTTAGGTTCAGCAGTCCGTATATAATCGCATTGAGGCAGCTGTTGAAATATGCCATATGGTAACTGACCACAAAAAGCCACTCTGGGATGCGGGGTGCCATGCTGGCAGGGTCAAAGGCTACCGCAAGACCGATAAAGTTTAGAGGAGCCCAGCAGATGGCAAAAAGTACAAAAACCACAAACATGGTGACAAAATTCCTGAAGTCCTGTGGCTGCAGTTTGGGTTTGTTGTGGGGCTTCACTCTCCATCCGACCTGAAGCACCAGGATCCATGTTCTTAGGTAACAGAAGATGACAATGATCACAGGGACTACGAAATGGAAAACCACCACAGCTACTGTGTCTGCCGAATTGACAGACTGTGCGAACGTACAGGAACAGATCCTTGAGTCACACTGGAGTGTCCCAGTATGCAAGTTGGGCACGATTGCCACCAGTGTCAACATCCATATCAGGAAGACGCAGCAGAAGGAATTCTCGTCACTGTACAGCTTGTCGTACTTGAGGCTGTGGCAGATGTAGCAGTAGCGGTTAATGGCAATCCCAGTGATATTAAATATTGAGCCGATGGCGCTCAAGCCCATGAGGAAACCACTGATTTGGCAGGGCAGATATCCCAGTTTCCATCCATTGTTAAATACAGAAGTCAGCACCAAGGGGTATGGATAAACGGCCACCACCAGGTCTGCCACTGCTAGGCTTACCGCAAATATATTTCCTAAAAGGGAAAGGTTTATAAAATACAGGTTAATGCTAGTTTTGCATAGACTGCATTGGTTTTCTTCAACAGTTATTAAAGAAAGAGCTGTTTCCATAGCTCAGATGGCCTGGCATCGCAGCTACTGCCACCTTACACATGAAGGAGGAAGGGAGCCCATTGTCGCCCTTGTCAAATAGCCAAGTCCGCTGTACACAAACTCCCACATCCCCACAACGAAACACAGTCCATGCTCAAAACTGTTGCCTTTCAAACTGTTTTGTTCGTCTTCTTTTGTAAGACACCTTGAGTTCACTGTACTTACCAGTACTAGCTGCCTTCAAGTCAAGTCTAACTCATGGTGACCTTGTGTATGTCAGAATAGAACTGTGCTCCACAGGAATCTCAGAATGGCTGACTTTTCAGAAGTAGATCCCCAGACCTTTCTTCTGAGGCATCTCTGGGTGGTCTTGAACCTCCCGCATTTCAGTTAGTGGCCAGGCTCTTCAAATGTTTGCACCACCCAGCGACTCCTCAGTATAATTACATCACTTTTTCTAGAATCTTCCACTTTACCTGAGAAACCTCATGTCACATGATTTCTCAAGCCAGCCAAGCCTTTCCTATGTTCCAGGTCTTCTACCCCTCTCTAGTTGTTCAACATTTTTTCACAGGGGCCTCTAGCTTCTGTTCTTGGAGAGCAAAGATCCTGTTCATAGCATAAAAATTAAGAGAAAATGAGCTCTGTCATCACTGTCTGGGTGACAATACTGGCTTCACCAGCTGACTGGGGCAAGTTACTTTACCTCACCAAGCTTCAATTCCTCTTCTATAAGGGGTGCGGAAGCGGGGTGGATAGTGATAGTATCTTCCTCATAGGGTTGTGGAGGATTAAATAAACAAGGAAATCTATGTCAAGTGCTGATGATAAGTGTTCTGTTAGCGTTGTTCTCATTCTACAAAACCCTCACTTCAAAACTGAAGGAAAAGGTAGGAATTCTCTTAGATTTTACCAAGAATTTAAAGTATAAAAATTGAACTCTAAATATTATGGGCAATGATAATTTTCTATATTAGCATATTAACTCAACATGTTTTAAAGGACAGAAAAGAACTGTAGCCAAATTTTATGAGATGTTCTGAAAATATACTCTTTTCTTTTGAGGCTCTTTTGCCTTTCTTCCGCCTATCCTTCAATGGCTCCTGCCTCCGACTTTAAAAATGCTACCAGCTTCCCAGGTCCATCTTAAATAGAAACGCCCCAAAGTCTTTGTTTATTTGCTCAACTAGATGTAAGAACTTCCTCTTTTGAATGGTCCTAAATCACTTTATATAAATCACTTTCAATTTAGATTAAATTATAATAAATTCAATTCAATAAAAATGTATTGTTGTATTGCTGTTGTTAGGTGCTATCGAGTCAGTTCTGACTCATAGTGACCCCATGTACAACAGAATGAAACACTGCCCAGTTCTGCGCCATCTTCACAATCATTGCTATGCCTGACCCGTAGTTGCAGCCACGGTCAATCCATTTCACTGAGGGTCTTTCTCTCTTTCACTGACCATCTACCAAGTATGATGTCCTTCTCTAAGGACTAGTTCCTCCTGCTAACATGTCCAAAGTACTTCCTTCCCTGCAGAGGTGTGGGTTAGCTAGATCCACGTGAGAATTCTCCATAGAATTTGCAAGGTGAAAGTGAAGCAGCAGCTTTTTCTTTTTATGCTCAGAAGGTCTACACGGAGTGCCAGGCAATATGACATCTCAGTCACTGGCTAGGTGAGACCACAGAAACCGCTGTCCTGGGCCAGGTTTTCTTCTTTCATCCATCAATTTTGCTGCTGGTTTCAACCCCCACACTCCAAGTCTCATGTTGATCTGCATCCAAACGAACACTTTTGCATCCCTTTGCTTTTATGTGCAATGCAGAGAATCCTGTCACCCTGTCTGCCGCTGTGCAAGGTTTGGGCCTGGAGTTCAAGGTTTCCATTAACACTACCTCTGCAGTGCTAGTAATCCTGTTCCCAAGTTGATAATGCTTCAGTCTGTGCGGTGATGAAGCCTGGGAGACAGTCCCTCTCCTATGGCGCTCAGCACACTTGGCCTCCAGGCTGCTTCTGTGGTTTCTCTATCTCATGGGCCTTGTAGAGGATGCTGCTAATGCCCATCCTAGACCTCTTCGCCAGGTTGGTACATTTATCCTCAGAGTGTCTGTGAGTGTTGGGTACTTCCATTGGATCACAGCTGCATCTTCCTCCAGAGAACTGCCCCAGCTGAACAGCCAGCCAGTGATTGACACCAGAGTACAAAAGGCCAACCCCCTTGCTGCAAGGGGAGGGGGCACAATTCTGGGTTTTATTTATGGCCAGAGGCCCCTGTCTTATGAATCAGATTTACCTGAGATCCCATCCTTGCCTGACTCTTTCTCCTCCCCATCTGCTTCCCTCACTTGCTTATGGTTCCTCCTAAGAATACGCCCTCCATAAAGCATGAGTACCCACACCCCTGCTCATGCTCTGCTTCTAGATGATCTAACTCAGGCCGTCAGCTCTGGGATGCGGTTGCATGGTTTCTACCAAAGGCCACTGGCTTCTTGGTAGAAAAAGAGGCACTACTGTCCCCTCTTACAAAAACAAAGAAACCAACGTTCCTGGGCAGAGATGACTGACTCTCAGAGCTTCCTGGTGTTGCTCTCTCATTGTCTCATCTGCGTTACCTGTGGCTACGCTTCCAATATCACAGCAACAGAGGACTGCATGGTGTATGTACAAGTCTGTCTCCTTCTCAGACACCGTGACCTGCCTGAGGTCCTGGGCTGTGTACCTGGAGCTGCAGGTGCTCTGACAGCACAGTGCCTGGCACATAGTAGGTGCTCGAGAATACCCATACGAAAGTAGAAATTCACTGTTCCAATGCTCTTATCTACCAGCACAGGTCGGCCAACATCCATTCCTTCTTTCATTTCAGCTGGGACTTTAACTGTGCGCAAAGGAAGATTAGAGACCCACTGAATTATTGTACATAAAAATTTTAAAAAAAGAAAAACCACCACAAAAAACTATGCCTGAATGTTAGCATCAAAGTGGTAAAGACTGGTTTAAACAGAAAAAAAAAAAGCACTTCAGTTACTCTTAGAAACACTTTTCATTTGTTTCACATAGCAAATTCATAGACTTGGATTTAAGAATTCTGGTTTAATGAACAAACTATAAACTTGGTTAGTGTAAAAAATTCCATGAACATATTAAACGTAATGGTATGACAAAGGAAAGCTGAGGTCCCGAAGGTGATTAACAAATATTCTCTGGCACTGAAAGGGGACGCGAAGGGCTTTATTTTGAACATCAAATCACACAGGCAATTGTGGGGTTCATTAGGGAAGTAACAGGTTACACTTCAGGATCAGAAACAACTCAGGATACAGTTCTTCCATCAGGACGGCCTCTTCTTGGCCAAGCCCACTGGCAGGCCTCTCTCTGGCCCTCAGCCCGGCCTCTGCCCTGCTCAGGCAAGTGTTACAAAGCTCCTTAGCTCCCCCAATAAGTGCCTGGGGGCACCCCACTCCGCCAGCAAGCCTCCTGCCCAAAGTCGCTCAGCTCTCTTGCTCCGTGGCCCAGGAAACCCACAGCGCTGTCTCCTTCCGGTCTCCTGGTTCTACTGCTGCCAGTTCTCTGCCTCAATCGCTGCCTCTTCTTGCCGTCTTATGCCACCTCCAGTGTTATAGCTCTCTGTCTCCTGGGTCTAGCAAGCTCTCAGTGCAGGGACCCCAGGTCCAAAGGACATGCTTTGCTCCTATCTCTTCTTCTTGGTGGTAATGAGGCCCCCCCTCGCCTCTGGGATTGGCTCCCTTTCAGCCTAGCAGGATGGCAAAACTGACCAATCCCCTTGTTAGGGTCCCATATACCTTATTTGCATGGTCCCACCCCCACAAGGGTCCTTTTGCCTTATTTGCATTATTAGCAAGCTGTCCAATCCCCTTGGTGGGCCACAAGCACCTTATTTGCATAGCCCCACACAATCATTTGGTGGGAGTCACAAAGACTATGCTAAAAAATCCATTGCCATGGAGTTGATTCTGACTCATAGTGGCCCTATAGGACAGAGTAGAACTGTCCCATAAGGTTTCCAAGGAGTGGCTGGTGGATTCGAACTGCTGACCTTTTGGTTAGCAGCTGAGCTCTTAACCACTGCACCACCAGGGCTCCTAGGCTAGACGAGCCATAGTAGGTAATTCACTGCACCGCAGTGGGTCTATTCCAACTTGTGCTGGTTGCCAGCTTGTGTTATTTCTTTAAGTTTGTGACTCTTCCTCCTAATTTACAGCTTATAATCTCTACCTAGAAACTAGCATCACAGCTGGTAAAACTCACGGTTATATTAGAACAAATTAGCTGTGGGTTAGAGCCTGTCATTTTTGCTGATTTCCATTTTTTGGCTATATTTCCATACAGATTAGATTGCCAGAAAATTGAATTCTGAATAGGTAAAGTCTTATTGTATTCTTGCTTTATATATTTATATATGTATATATATGTGTGTGTGTGTATATATATATAGGTAACGGTTGTATGTAAGTGTAACACACACAGAGACGAGTGCACAAATCATTAAGTCTACGGCTCAGTGACTTCTCACAAACTCAATACACCCTTGTTACCAAGAAAAAAGAATAATATTACCTGCTTTATCCTTTTCAAAGTACTTTGCATCATTTCGTTTCACTAGGTGATTGCAACAATTGTCGGAGGCTAAAACATTAGGTATAACCTCCACTTGACAGACGTGGAGACTGAAGCTCTGGCAAACTGATCTCTCCGTCAGAAGACGGATGGCAAGGACATAATCCTACTGTTCCAGGGCAGGGATCTCCGACTGTGCTACAAAGTTGACTCAGAAGATATGAACATGGCGGTCAACTCTGGTAGCTGACTTTGGCCAGGAGTGGAGCAGACATGCTGGCAACACCTAAGCCCTTATGGATTGTTTGGCGCCTATGTCTGTCCTGACCGGCCTGTGCTCTGCCCTATCAGTCGTTAAACATTTTGAATTTCTTCCCTGGGGAATCTAATGTCATCACGTTCCCTTAGAGAGGGGCAGGTGAGGAGGGGATAAATAATGCAATTATATGAGATTTTCAAAAGAAGTACCAGTTCAAAGCTTAGATGGCTTAGTGTTCTTATTTCTTCCATTCTCTTTTTCCATCTTTTCATCCTTAACGCCAACAAAACTCAAACGAGAAGTGGAAGGACGGAACAATAGTAAGAACTTCTAATAAGCACCCAAAACTCATATTCAAATAGGCTATCTCTATCACTGTTTCAAATTACCATTTATTCTAGAAAGCCTCAAATGGTTTGAATGGCAACAGTTGGGTCCAGCTGGACAAAAAGCGCCAATTATAAAAATATGAACGTTCAAAGGTTCCACAGATTAAAGCTAACTGAGGTCTCCAGGTCAGCTACCAAATGAAACCCGTTGCTGTTGAGTCAGTCGATTCCAACTCAAAGCGACCCTGTAGGACAGAGTAGAACTGCCTCATAGGGTTTCCAAGGAGCAACTGGTGGATTCAGACAGCCGACCTTTTGGTTAGCAGCCAAGCTCTTAACCACTGCACCACCAGGGCTCCTTAGGCTAAGCTACAGGAATGTTGTATTTTATAGACTGCCCTATCAAGAAGTTGTTTAGCAAATGAATACAAATTAGTGCGAAAAGAGTGCTTTCCATAAGTTATTTTCATAAAATACAAGAAGCACAATATTTCCAGGCATGTGAACTTTTTTAAAATGAAAGGTTCTGCAGGATTCAAACTCCACAAGGGCTGCAGTTGTTAGAGCAATAAAGTGAGTGAGCTCTAGGGGCAAGCACTGTGAAGTAAACCCTGCCCACCACATACAGCCTGTTTGACAGTCTGGACCCTCAGCTCTTCCTCTGTAAAGTAGCGACAATAATGGCATCATCTCAGGGCAAAGCCAGAAGACTCACTCAGGTAACACAGGTGAAGCGCTCAGAACTGTCTCTGTCCCACAGAAAGCTGCTTTGATTGCTTGGAAGGAAAGAGCCTCTTCTTGAAAAGGCAGAATTCCTCTAGCTTAAGCCAGTCATCTATGAAGTGAGGTTATTCAAATTCAATTCCTGTTATTAGGCGCTTACTAATTCTTAAACTATGTACAGGCAGTCCCCTAGGTTATGAGTGAGATCCGTTCCTAACTGTGTCTTTAAGTGGAATTTGTTGGTGGATTTGTTCTCGGGTGTGATTTTCAGTTATTAGCACACATTTCAAAAGCACCGTCAGCTCCTCAAGGCGCCTCTAACGTGACTGTTAGTCCTCTAAGTTTACATTTTAAAAATAGAAGTTGTTGTGGTCAAAAGTATATTTATACATCATACACTACGAAAACTAATTTTGTACTTGATTAAACTCCAATCAATGGAGAGAAGCTGGTTTGTCTTGGGTAGGAGCCTGCAGGCGAGTTTTCCACAGGATGGGGTGTTCAGACCCCTAAATAATGACTGGGTGCACGGGTCTATGAATGGTGCAGTCCAGTTAGCTGAGGGCAAAATCTCTGGGGAAGAAAAAGACACCTTGCAGTTGCATGTTTGCCAAAAGCGACATTTGTGTTCTAACCGGGTAGCTGCTAACACTCTAATTCTGTTCAGTGGTTGTTAGGTGCCGTTGAGTCAGTTCCGACGCATAGCGACCCTATAGACAGAGTAGAACTGCCCCATAGGGTTTCCAAGGAGCAGCTAGTGGATTTGAACTGCTGACCATCCTTTTGGTTAGCAGCTGAGCTCTTAACCACCTCACCACCAGGGCTCCGTGTGGAAGGGCTTGCTTTCCTTCCCTCCCTCCCTCCTTCCTTCCCTCCTTCCTTCCTTCTTTCCTCCCTCCCTCCCTCCTTCCCTTCCT